TGAGAAAACAGGCAGCTAAGGAACGCTGAGATCCAGAGACACAGTCCTCTCCAGGGAAGAGCACAGTAATTGTTAGTGTTTTAGAAGTTACTAGGTACTCTCCAGCTGTGAACTTGAAGTCCTTGCAGTTCTACTTTACATCAGCAGAGGGCAGCCTCTGGATTCTGACAGGGTCCTCGCTGGAGCATCTGGTCTTAAGTTAGAAAGTATTAATAACCAGTGAAAGTTCAGAACATTTTTGCTGATTGTTCGCTGTATCAAGTTTACATGATATTTGTATGCTTCTCTTAAAATTAATGATGATAGCCAGGCAGTGGTGGCACACGCCTTTAATCCCAGCACTTGGGAGGCAGAGGCAGGCAGATTTCTGAGTTCGAGGCCAGCCTGGTCTACAGAGTGAGTTCTAGGACAGCCAGGGCTATACAGAGAAACCCTGTCTCGAAACCTCCCCCCCCCAAAAAAAACAAAATTAATGATGATAGTCGTATGATCAGGATATGGCTGACTACAAAGAAAACTTGATATCTTATTCAAATATATGCTATAAAAGAGAGAAAACTAGTTTGAAACTTTATTAATTCTTTACAGATTATTGACATTATTAAGTCATTATTGACATTATTAAGTGTATTAAGAATATTTTAGCCTGGGTTTGGGGATTTAGGTTAGTAGTTAAGAGCACTTGTTGTGCTTGCTGAAGATATGGATTCAATTCCCAGTTCTCACATAGAGGTTCATAGTCATCTCTAACTTCATTTTCAGGGGATCTGATGCCTTCTTCTAACTTCTTTGGGCTCCAGGAATGCATGTGTTACATACATACATACATACATACATACATTCGAGCAAAGCACTCAAACACATAAAATAACCTAAAGGGAATACTTTAACCTAAGTAGGTTTCATATCTTTCTTCTCAAATATGTTAAGAAGCCATAAGATGAGCGAATATAGCAGTTACATGTATGTAACACTATCTTTTTTACATGGTTGGTTGAAGGCAGAAAATTGAAAAGAAAACAATTAATACTGAAAAATTTTGCTTTTCCTAATTTTCCAGGTTTCACGATCAAGAGGAGCACCTTAGGGGAGGAGATGATGACATTCTTGGGCCTGGATATACGGAGGACTCCACTGATGTGTACAGCAGCCAATTCGAAACTATTCTAGACAACACTTCCTTATACTACAGTGCAGAGTCATTAGAGACACTGTATTCAGAACCGGACAGCTATTTTAGCTTTGAAATGCCGCTTACTCCCATGATACAGCAGCGCATTAAAGAAGGTGGTCAGTTCTTGGAGAGGACCTCTGTGGGAGGACACAACGACGTACTGAGTGTGTCAGCAGATGGTGGCATAGTGATGGGCTATTCTACAGGGATCACCAACGGACTGTACGCTTCTGCCAACTCTGTCTACAGCAGAGGCCCTCAAGAGATTGCCTTCTGGGGAAGGTAGCAGTGCCATTCTCATTCATTTCATGGTGGTATTTTTTGTGGTATTCTCTCTTTGGGAAATCTAAGTGTAGGGTATATTTTAAATGAATGTGTCCAGTTTCTGTGAATGTGAGAAAATGATGTAAGTATCTGAAAGCTCAGGATTCACGAGAACAGCAACTGTAGTCTAGTAGTGTGTGGAACTGGCAGCAGTGACCATTGGCTGGCTTACTCTATGTGAATGGATACTGAGCACATAGTTGTAATGAGTAGTTGTTTACTCTGATGGTGCGGGCTCTAGACAGTGGCTTGTGCTGTAGAGAGAGCCTTTAGCTTTGCATTGGTAAGGTTTTTTCTTTCTCTGTTTTACCATCTTGGGATTGAATGACAATTTAGTTAGGGTACATATTCCTTAGCTCTCATCTGGCTATGTTGTGTCTACTTACGGGTTTCCATCCTTTCACCTGTTCTTGCCTGCCTCCTTACTTCATCTGCCTGCCACTTTGCATCTCTGTCAGCAGGAAGGGAATGCTAAACTATGTAAGTTTCATGAATTTAGTTTTGAAGTGTGTTTTCTATCTATGTATCTGGAGATGGTGGTGGAGGAGAGATTAAATGAGGATACAGTATTCTGAAGGTAGATGAAAAATATCAGGGCTTTTTTCTTTAAAATTCTGTTCACATTCCGGGTTTTCAGTAATTCTGTCTTTCCCAACAGCCTGTCCTGTGTTGGAATTTCCTGTAACCAGCATAGTTTTATGGTCCTTTGGAGTTCCATAATTGAGAACCCAAACATCTCAATACTGTAGATGCTTCCCTGTGTAACAGGTAGTGATTACTTGGTTCTCAGTGAGATGATGAAAGTCATGCAAGGTCTCAGAGGAAAAAGTTTTGGTCTGATATATTTGTTTATTCACTCTGAAACCTGGTTTTATTTTGTTTTCAAAATGGGGATAATGATGCCCTGTGTACCGTATAGCTATGAGAGTTAAAGGGTTAATGTAGCTGAAAGCACCTAGTAGGGTCTGCCTGCCAAGTCCATGTTGGATGTTATGTATCATGAAGAGGGATGCCTGGGGGTGGGGGGAGCACCCATGAGAGAAGGATGTATCCAGGGATGTGTTGCTGAGAGCAAGTGTTTCTAGAACAGGAGTGTTGCCATGAGCAGGGTGTTCCTGAAGTGTCTCTGGCTGGATTGTTCTGGAGAAAATGTCTGTCTTTCAATAGGGAATATTCTTGTAGTCTGTCTTATTATCATCTCTGTGACTGCAAATCTTGATAAAATGCTGAAGAACATGTAAAAGAATCCGGTGTGCTTCCAACCCAACTTTCTGCGGCATATAGAAGTTGTTTGTGTTGCACACAAAATCACGTTAAGAGTTAAGGTGGTTCAGGCTGTGGCATTCTATCTCAGAAGCCACAGGAGAGGAGTGTCAGAGAAAGTAAGAGATTAGAGACAGTAGACAGCCTACGAAATACTGGATGAAAGGTTTATTCCTTTGTACTTTTGTGCCTACACATTGACAAAGTAATCATTGCTGTCTTAGTTAGGGTTATTATTTCTGTGATGAAACACCATGACTAAAAGCAACTTGGGAGAGAGTTTATTTCACTTTATAGTTCCAAGTAACAGTTCATCATCAAAAGCAAGGGCAAGAAATCAAGTAGCACAGGAACCTAGAGGAAGGAGCTGATCCAGAGGCCATGGAGGGGTGCTGCTTACTGGCTTGTTCATCATAGCTTCCTCAGCCTGCTTTCTTATAGATCCCAGGACCACCAACTCAGGGATAGCACTACCTACAGTGGGCTAGGCCTTCCCCTATCAATAACTAAGAAAATATGTTACACCCTGATCTTATAAAGACATTTTCTCAGTTGAAGCTCCCTCCTTTCAGATAACTCTAGCTTGTGTCAAATAGATATAAATAGCCAGCAGAGGCCTCAAAGCTTAGTATGGGCAGAGCTACTTACAACACTAGAGTAACTCCTAGTGTTTTAGCATGTCAGATTACATAATGGTATCTATTGAGCTATCTTGAAGTAAGATTTCAGTTGTGCCACCTGGCTAAGGCAAGAAAGACTGAATTCCAGTGTAGAAAAGAAGTATCTTAGAGGGTGGTCTTCTGCAAGACCCCAGGCAAGGCGATTCCTCTCTTCCTGTACACTGCTAGTGGTTAGGACAGATAAGTTTCATGGGGCACTTTTTAGTGTTCTTTGTGTTGGCTCAAGGTAACAGATCATTATAAGTAGACAAAGCTTTACAACTTGAAAGGGAAAGACTCCGCCCGAACCCTTCCTAGTTTCTGCCGGGAGATGGGTGGGATAATCCGTTCTTGGTCACTGGTCATGGCTGGAGATTTCTTAAGGCAAGTCCAGGGGCAGTTCCGTGCAGCCAAGGTGGGTAACTCCACCTAGATCCTATCACTTGATCTGTTGTGGTAAAGGAGGTCTCTCAGGCCTGCTCAAGGCCGGGGGAAGGGCATGTTTTTATACAGACAGATGTCTGAATTCATCCGTTTTCAAGAATTTAGTTCCAAATGCTGAATTGGTTGCTACTGTTTTTGTTGCTGTTAGTGGTGTGTGTGTGTGTGTGTGTGCGCGCGCGTGCACACACGTACTGGTGTTTGTGAGGGGAATTGTTTAGGAGTGGTCTCTGGTGGTAAAAATTCCTTTCCTCTTTCAGTTTTCCAGTTAGTTTTTGTAGCTACTTTCTTATATACTTCAAAGAAGAAAATTCCCTTAATCTCTCATATTCAATATTTAGTTGGGGAGGTTCATTGAATACTTATCTTACTGTGTGTATTTTAAAGTATTATATAGAAATTTAAAGTATTAAATTATGTAGAAATTAAAGTATTATATAGAAAGTCTGCTGAGATCATGGATCCCGTATGAACAGGAATAGTTAAATTCTTCCACTGTGCTCTGACTGCTGACCATGTAGCTGCCTGTCAGCAGGAAATAGCTCACCTAGCTCTGCTCTGTAATGCAATATTTTAATGAAGGAGCAAAGAGCAGCATCCCCTCCCTTAGTGGTCCAGCTTGGGAGCCTCAGGCCCCCAGGGTTCAGCAGGCTATGTGAAGTCCAGTCACATGGCTCCAGAATTAGAAAGGATAATTAGAGACTTAAGTCACACATGTCCCCATGGGTTCCTTTGTGTCTGGGTGTTTCTCTCTCGCAGGCCTATCAGGAGATGACCACAACTCCAACCAGTAAGTGCTGTCTGACCTGAAGACTGCGAGCCACATGTGTTGTCCTTGTCTCCAGGAACCGTGGTGAATAATGTCCATTTCTCTTGAGCTGGGTCTGGACACAGGCGAAGTGAGACAGCATATACAGGAATATGTCAGCAGCTTCTTTCCTGGTTCTCTCAACTATAAGAAACTGCTCTAACATATGTTTTATTGTGTGAAAAATATGTTTTATAGTTTAGTTTCTTAGGTTTTCTCTCAGGGTAGGAGTTCGGCAGCAGAGGTGAATTGCATCTGTGAGCAGCTGATATGCCTGAGGGAAGTGCTTCTCTGTTCAGTGCCCTGAAGTTGATATTTGTGGGTTTCTGCTTTCCTCTTGCCCTTCCTCCTCCTTCCTCTCAAAGGGAATGCTATGCTATTTCTTCTTCAGCCTTTTTCTCTCCTTAGTGCTTTCTGCTTGGGAAGATGTAACTTGAAAGAGCAGTGATAAAGAAATTAGCTAAAGTACAATTTAAGGAAATTTTCTAGATCCTCAATTTAAAAGCAGAAAGGCATATGCATAGTTATTAAAGTAAGAGAATAACATCATGTGGTGTTTGCTTAGCTGGTGAATGTAAAATCTAGGCTTTACTAAGTGTCTCCAGAGACTCATAGAAGTCTGCACTTTTCTTCTGTCATTAGGGACAGGGCACACTGCTGCCTCCTGGTTTAGTGGTGGGTGGACGTGGCTCCAGGAATCTCTCAAGTGTTTTTACGGTCTAAATATTTTTTTTCTGCAGAAAAAGAAGTTCTCATTTTTCTCTTCCTAAGTTTCTGAAGTGGTTTTAGTGGTGAAATTATATTTTTTTGTTTTTGTTTGTTTTCCCATTTGAGAGTCCTTGCCCAGTTGTTTGTTTTGTTTGCGTGTTTGTTTGGTTTTTTGTGTTCATGGAGGGGTCACTCCTGTAGAGTTCACAGTGAAACCTAATTTTAAATGTTACTTTAGTTATTTATTTAGTAGGGATGTAATTGTGAAAAAAAATCTCTAATAAATAGAAAATAAAATTAATAGTAACTATTATAATGGAAGAAGTAACATATAAGATGAAGCCAAAAAGAAAAAGAAACACAAATCAAGAAAGGGCAATCAGGTGGCTAACAGTGTAAGGGGCTTAGTAAAAGACAGGAGACAGGAAATCTCTGCTGCTAAGAGTAGAAGCCTGGAGAGTGAGCCAGCCACTCCTCAGCACCCTCTACTGTCAGACAAACTCTCCCAGCCCTGGGCTGTCAGAGGCTTCCTGTAACAAGGCTTTCCCATACAAAGCACATGCAGTAGGGGAGTGGGGTAGGGAGCCTAAACATGGGGGTTAAGAGCAGCTTCATCTTGGACAACTCGATTCATTTGGGGAAATCGACCCTTTATTTGGTAGAGTAGAAATGTCCTTACCAACCAACTTAATTTTGGTATATGAATTTGCAAGAGTGTGAGATTTAATCTGTTTATGGTTTACACAACCATCTGTGTAATTGTTCAAAGTATAATGTGAAAATAGATGAGAAAAATCTTGGTAAAGATAAAAACACACACAAAGATTGGGTCAGTGTTTCAATATGGGACAGTTAGGTCAAGGTGACTTTAGACTTCAAACACAGATCTAACTCACTGAACCCAGAAACTGTCACAAGGAGTTACATACAGAATGCAGGTTTGTAGGAGTCACCTGGCAAGTTCAGCTTTAAACACGTTGCATTCGTTTTTTTTTTGTTGTTGTTGTTTTGGGGGGGTTTTCAAGACAGGGTTTCTCTGTGTAACCCTGGCTGTCCTGGAACTCACTCTGTAGACCAGG